ACCTTGGAAGAGGTAAAGAGCTAATAGGCACATAATCAAGAGACGACAATACCCGGGCAACGCGAGGTATTTGAGCTTGGATAAAATCCTTGTTTGAGATGTTATGGTTCTTGGTTGTGGCCGCTGCCCTGGCGCGGCGGAGTGGGCGTGGCACTGATTCAACGCAGACAAATGCAGGGTGCAGTCAGTGACAGTCAGTTTCTCTTCCAGGAAGGTCTGGAAGAGCCAGCCCCGTTGTAATGCGTGCCACCACTTCGTTGAACTTCCAAGGATTAGACAATGAGGAGCGGGCGGAGAAATGTAGGAAGACAATTCATTTAGTGATAATTAATGACAAGGTTAAAGATGAAGAAGGAAAATAAGAATGATTAAGAAGATTAGATGAACGAAGAAAAAATATATAAAGATCTTTAAAACCAGGAAAATGGATCGACGAAAAAGTGAGTAATAGCTTGTGAGTCTGTCTGTACATGGCGCGATAGCCCGCGAACGGGCTAGGGCCTACCAGCAGCGTCCCGGCCTCGCGGCTACGGGTTTAAGAGGTACGTGTGGTCAGTATGAAGACATCCCATTCAGGTCTCACCTTGAGAAGTGGCGTTTCTCAACATCACAAAGCAACATATATTGGGACATTGCAAAGAAAACGCACACTATAATCATGGCCGCTCGGGAATTGAACCCGGGGTCGCGTCATGGAAAGCCAGCAGGTTGACAAATGAGTCAAACCGCGAGGGCGCTAATAGCTTGTACCCAACGATTTATCGGATTATTTGGCATATTTGCTATGTTCATGAAATGTTAAATTCTTATTCACGAATATATTGTATTATTCGTAAAATATTTCAGTTGCCTACGAGTAAGAGAATAAATTACGAAATATTGTTATTAAGGTATTCGACAGTATTTGCTTTATGTTGAGAATATTCATTATTACATGTTAGCATCCCTTGGTTATCCAATTTAGTTACTTAACAGATTTTCTTTAAATTATTAACATTTATATAAACGTAGAGTTTAATTCCTCAGGAGAACCTCCATTCATATTTTGGGCAAACACAATTCAAAATAGTATATAGGCAAGTTTAATACGTCATAAATTAATCTTCATTAATGTGAAACTAATCTTTTTTAATTTCACATATTAAGGTTTAAACGAGATAATTTGTTTGTCAGTATAAAAAGAACTGACAATTCTCAGTGTACTTTCGTCTCAGTATTTTTTCTTATAAATTAAGAAAATATTATTCAACACGTGTAAAGTTAAGGTAATGAGTGAAATTATGAATTTTACGAGTTCCACCATTGAAAGGCCGCGTTTCCTTCACACAATGGTATACATAATTCAAACTGTAATAATAATTTGCATGTGACTTTGCATATACCCGCTTCAACAGCATCGATTTTCACTTTCAGCGAACGAATTGTTTATGCGTCTACTTCAAGGAATTTGATAGCATACGTAATAAAAGTTGGAACGAACCGCATTACGTGCGCCGTGACTTCGCTCCAGTAGGCGAGCAAAGGGGCGAGCGAATCGGAAAGGAGCAGTGTGGGATGCAGTGAGATGAGTAGGGACGAGGCGGACAGGGACAATGTGGTTCGTGAAGAAGCGAGAAAGGAGGCGGCGGGAAGGGAAGGGAAGGGATGGGGTCGGCAGCAGAGGTAGGCGTGGAGGGTCAAATCGACAAGCGAAGAGGCGTACCAGGCCGAAAACAAGAACAGGCGTGGGTGGTCGAGGCGGGGCGGTCGAGACGGGGCGGTCGAGACGGGGCGGTCGAGACGGGGTGGTCGAGGCGGGCAGGATCCAAGTGGTAAATAAAGATGGAAGGAACTCCGAAGTAGAGGGGGACGAAACAGGGGATGGCGAGATGAGAAGGGACGGTACGAGTCGAGTTAGGCAAGAGGTAAGAAATGGTATGAGGTGGGTAGGGTCGTGGTGGGAAGAGACCCGGGGGTTGGGCAGGGCAGGGAAGCGGCGGAGGTGGGGCGGTCCAAGGAAATATCCTTCTGCTACTATGGCGAGATGGTGCGGGACGCTTCGAATCCAGGGAAGGAGTGTCGAAGGGGGCGGGGCCGGAAACAGCTGGTTCCGCCAGGGCCATTGTGGCCTGCGAGGCCCTTTCTGCGGCCGCGTAGCGCTGGGCCTTCGGCGCAGGCGAGGCGAGGCGAGGCGAGGCGGGGCGCAGATGATTCAGTCAATAGCCAGCGCAGCGAGGCGCTGCGCCTGTCACCAGGAGCTCCCTGTTTACTACTACAGTCGACTCAATGCCAGCGCCTCCTCCCTGGGAAATACCTCGCTTTATACCCCCGCTTTTATAACCGCAACTAGGTTATGGAATTTTAATATTAAAACTGCTTCGTTGCACCTATTTCTCTCGGCTTAGGAGGGAGAATAATCAAGTAATAAACAAGAATTATACAGTCTACGCCCAGAGAAACTTCCTCGGAGTGAAATCTTATAGCGCGGCTGCATCACGCAACACTACTGTGGAAGATGGGTTGCCTGCCAACCTTCAGTATCGGTCGACTAAGTGTGAAAATCGACCATCGAGTCATGGAGGTGTCAGGGGGATATCATTCGTCCTTCCCTTAGCTGATCGTATTCTTCTGTCAAAACGTGCTTCAGTTTATGGATCTGATTCGAGCCCCGTCTGTGATACGTTAAAATTCTCGCACACTTCACCAGGATTACTTTGTTGCCGGTCCACAACTCGCAAAGTAGTTGGTTGAGGGTAAACAATCATCTTCAAACAGTTTAAAACATCTGTCAATTAAAAAATATTTCTTAAATATTTCTGCAGTACTCCGAGACGTTGACATGTTTTCCAAGAAAAGAATGTCTGCTGTATTCGTTACAGGATTCTGCGTCTTTTGGAACTTCATCCCAAGCGCGAACTTCCCAACACGTTACAGAGGCTGAGATGGTTGAGGGCATCAACTGATGCCATTGCGGTGCCAAAGACCTGCAAGTCGTAGAGTTTGAGCCCCGACGGTAGCGGGGTTTTTGACATTAGGCGCATAGCTATTACACCTTCAGCCGCTGTCTCAATGAGAATTCTAGCGGCCAGCTACTGTAATCGGCAATTATCCTTGGTTTCTCCTACGTATACCAAGCGAATGCTGGAGCAGTAACCTAACAAATGGGCCATGGACCGCACGCGATCTTTCTTTTCTCTTCCTATCCTCATTTACTTACATATACTTACTCTTACATGCACTATACCTCCACTCATGTAGGAAGACACGTAGGAAGCTTAGAGCTTTTCCCGGCGGTACTCCGTCGGTGAGAGATACCTGGACGAGGAAAACTCCGCAGACGAAGTGTAGGTCAATGGATATCACTCTCCAGATGGATACAAACACCGCCACCTCCCGAGATTAAAAAATGCACTTCATTTAGGGGACTAATGACTACAGTTGATGAGCTGGAAATACAATCGAATCAAATGATATAATACTACGATCACCAATAACATGTCAAAATTTATTTACACATTATAATACGACAAACTTGTAATAAATAAATAACTTAACATGACAAGAATATTAATAATACTTTCTGAAGTTCTTTGCATTGGCTGGATGTTTATTGATCGTATTACACGGGGAAAGATAATATTTATATGAGTGGCGTAACCCCACCCTGCCCAGTCCTGCCGCACCCTGAGTGCCCTGTCCTGTCCTTTCCCGGTTCTCTCGGTCTCGTGAAGTGCCACGTCCCAGCCACCCAGTTCAAGCCCTCCCGCCCCAACCCGCCCTGACCCACAAGGTTCGCTCTGCTCCTTCACGCCCTTCCCGTCTAGCTGTGATCATTGCTATGGGCACGTGTAAGTAGATGCATTGTCGCATATACTATACAGTAACAATTCTGACCTTCATTTACACAAAGCAAAAAAATTGCGATATTGGAATGAATCGAAATTCACTTAATATCCATAACTATAATTATATAGAAAATTCTATGGCCTTTAAAAACATTAATATCCATAAACTGAATGAATTTACTCACTATTTTCGAGTTGTTGGCGTGAAACCTAAGGGGTGTATACTTAAATATTTTTTCAAGGGATAAAAAAGTTAGATGAGGTAGAGTTATAAAATAACATTTTGATAATAAAATTCTATTATATTGAAGGTCGTGTGAGAAAAATGTCATTCATTTCATTAATTTCATTTTCACAAAAAACTACATATCTATACCAAAATGAAACAAGGTTTTTGATATAATAATTAGTCGTAATTATGGCACAAAATATTCGACCTTTTAGTGAAAAATTTTCGATATTTTGGCGTTCACGAGATTAACTAACGATAGAAACAGACAGGAAGACAGACATAGAAAAAAATATAAAAGAAATATTTAATACTTTTTTGTATGTCGGTAGACCTGCAATCTTATGCATCTCACTATGAATGAATTGTGGCGTCTAATTTCAACTGTCATCACTGAAATGAAAAGTCTATGATGTTAACTAGTTTTTCAAAGGTTGACCCGTCATTCACTAAGACTGCACGTAATGGCATTGGGGATTTATCATATTTTAGAAGGCGGGTTACTTTGACATTGTGATTATTTACTTTGTTAAGTTAATTAGCAACTTTACCTTCTTCAGAGACTACTGGCATTCCGCGGATGACTGTATTAATGTTATTATCTGACGTGTGTCTGAACGTGTGATTCTAACACTTATTCTAGTCGAGAAAGTGAAAAGATTTTTCTGAGAAAATCTAAGAGATAAGAATAGTTTTAATTAATTTACCTTTGGTTTGGGTGGTAAAGTTATATCCAATCTCCCAGGTTAACTTATTATGAGTACTTTATCGTTGGTTATTTCATGAATAAATATTGGCGTGTTTCTTTGTTTTCAGGCTCATTAGGGTTAGCACAGAGTTGATGATTTTCCTCGCGATTTCATCCGTCTCATGCCCGAGCGGGTCAAGTCTGTTCTTGACTCATTTCGCAGGAGGGAGCATTTAGCCTTGCCTTTGGCGTCAATTACCTGAATGTTGCTGCAACTGCGTTTTATTGCATCTGACCTCACAACCTGAGCGCTGCTGTTGACGATTGACTCGTAGAAGAGTTGATGTTGATGCACCTCGGAGACATCTGTAACAGGGGGTTTTGAGTTGAGCATTGTGTAGGTCTGTGATACATTTTGAGCGCGAGTAGTATTTATCACTGCACTGTGTAAGCTGGATAAAACGCAAGCTGACACTGACTGACAGCTCGTCGCGCAGTAATGTGAATATCTCTGCGGCGGAGCAAGAACGTAACTAAGCAAAGAAAACTCCACTGGTCGACGATAGCCGTGCTGCACGATGAGGAGTGATCCGCTCAGTTCGAAAGTTGATGAAGCAATGAAGTACAGATTTGATTTTATACTTTTCTTCACAAAACATAAATCCTCACTCTTCGGCTCTATTCTTACGATAAGTAGAAAAAGGTGAGCTCAACAAAACATGCACGTAGCGATGCTATATTCCTCTAATCAATTCAGACGACCTTAAACAACCGGCGACGTACAACTCGTGAGTTTACATGGTGTTGGAAGTTGAAAACGAAAAATTCACGAACTTTCTTAGCTGATTTGTATGTACCAGAAAGACTTTAATGTCTTATATGTAAGTATACTTTTTTATAAGTAAAAATAATAAAATTTTTCATAGCTGACTTAACAAACAATACTTACAACAAATTTGAAAGTACTAAATATGGTGAGAGAAATATATTTAAAAAGTAGTAAAGAGTAGCGAGAGAATCGGCAAAGTTGGATCACTAAGGATTTCTGAGAAATATGGGTAAATCAGAAGAATGTATTACCGAACAGCTTTCTAAATTTTCCATGCCTTTTCATATATTCTCTGTAGTCAGTAACCATAAAGAAATAATGAAAACATATCAAATATTAAGTTTTAAATATTTTAATTTTCCTATGAATTTAAGTTCAATTAACTATACAGTTTCGAAAAAATACACAGGATTATGATTTCATTACTTTACACTTTGTGGACAAACGTACATAAATCAGTAATCGTATGTACAGAATATTTCGACGTTATAAAATGAAATCAAAATCAGTTTCTCCGTACTATCGCGAATGCCCCATGGTACATCTACAATTCACAACTTCATAAAGAATTCCAGGTAGAACCGATAACAAACCACATTATTTTTTATTCACCCACTTTTTCCTCAAAATTCCAAATATACCCAATCTAACCCCTCTAAGACTCTGCCAAAACCCAATCCCCAGAAGCCACATCAAGAACTAATTTTCATTTCATCCATTCCTCAATAAATTTTCAGATCTCCACCCAATGTAGAGTTATCGTATAAAGTTACCTCTACCAACCTTGTAGTAATCTAAGTTGTATTTTAAGGTTAGTAGTAAGTTTATTGTAAATTAATTATAAAAAGATTTAAGCAATCATAACAAATGTAGAGTATTTAATACTGATCTTTGTATTATTCGATCCAAAATAAAATAAATAAATTTTAAAAAATGAAATGAATGGGGATGGAAATTTGATGGAATGAAAGGCAGGAGAAACGGAAGAATCACACAAAAACGTACTGCAAACATTTTGTCCAGGAATGGAATTCCAGTCAGCGGAGATGGAAAGGTAGGTCTCAGGCCTTTACGTCAATAGACTCTCAATGTAAAATTAATCCAACTTTTTCTTCAATGTTTTATCATTGAAACCTCGCGAGGCGAACATGTAACATTCAACACTTTTCTTTCCGTATGCGCTTGATTTTCGAAAATTGAAGACATTCAAAACAAAGAAAGAATATTATCCTCATTCTCCATCTTTGAACCTTCCCGGTACGTGAATCATGAAGATATAAACGTTTTTCTTTTTATATAAGCTCGAATTATATAACAGATTGATAGTTTCTAAAAAATATTTTTTACTACATACGCTTACATTATGTAATAAATTGAACAGTTTGAAAAACATTGTGCTATTAACGTCTATTATACGTAAGAATATTATAAAATAGATCAATTCAAAACGGGCCCAATAAGAGAAACACAAATGATTGTTAACAACATTTCAACTCTTTTTTGGAGTTTTCAGCAGGTATTTGAGAGTGAAACTTAGAAACAAAGCAACGCAAAATATCAAAAATAAATGCACTTCGTCGTATGTGAATCAGAGTGTACCAGCTATTCCAAAACATTAAATAAACTCTCCAGTACTGTACTATTTATTGTGCACCCAGCTGAACCTGATAACGATTTCAATAAAGAGTTTTGTGTATCTCAAACTGAGTCTATTTCAATTAATTCAATTTTATTAAATTTAAAAAAAATGTCTGGATTTTGCGTCTTTGAAAGCATCGCGAGCCGTTGGCGTCTGTGCTTGCCTCGCCTTCGAGCATGGATTCCGTGTATTGATTCAGGGGATCACGCGGGGGCGGGGCGGGGGCGGGGCGGTGGGAGACGCGCGGTCCATGAATGACGAGTGGCGACGCCGACGGCATTCCTTGTCGGGGGCGGCGGCGGCAGTGGCGGTCTCTGATCACGTGGATATGTGAGTGGGACGCAAATCACCCAATAAGAATGCTAATGCCCCGCCGGCGGCGCGGATTTGGGTCGCGTCTTGCGCGCGCTGTCCCGCGAGAGGGCCATATGCATTTCAGAACTTCTTGCGGGCGGCGGGGCGCGGCTGGCGCACGGGAGGACTTCGAGTCGTGAATATTATCTGCATTCTGTCGTCGGAAATGAGATTGTCTAGATACATACGGCTCGTTAAAAATTGGGAAATCAGAACATAGTTAACTATAAAGGGGTTATGAAAGATTTATAAGCCATGCTAATGCAGTTTCGAGACAGATTTTACACCTCATTTCAAGTTAGTAACATGAACATAAATGAAAGTGTAAGAAAATCTGAAAATAAATGGAAGGGGAAGGAAAAGAAGTGTTAACCTGCCATCTGACGGAAAATGGAAACGTATTACACTGAAGAGGAACAGGGTTGCCCAGACGGCTTATTGGAATGCTCCATTACAAAATGTCAAAATGTTAGCCTCTTTCTGATAATTCTTTATTGTTTTTAGAGTAAGCGCCTGCCCTATGTCTTTTGTAGGGCCCTATTCGACCAACAGCTAAAAGCAATTGTAAGACCAAGAGATTCCCCGATGAGTCACTGATGCACTGCCACTAAATGTGACTAACTTGCGAGGACATTCCTACTGCGTTACATCATTGATTCATTGCGTGTACAAAGCACAATGGGGCTGCGCTGCATTGATTTCTTGCAGGTGCACCAAAGAATTAAGTTCTCTGACAGTACAGCGAGGCAGTTGTGATGTCCTCTGGCGATGAAAAAGGTAGTCTACATTCGGCGTTAACCCTGACAGCCGATATAGAGCCAAATTGAACATTTGGGAATGGGTCACAGGGGTGGATCCAGAATGTATTGGAGGGATGGGGAATATTTCAGTTTTGATATATTTGGATTTCACAGAAGTATTTATTTGAATGGAGATGTGATTACTATATGAAAGTTGTTTGGAACAAACTGGGTAAAACTGAAAAAAAAGTACAAGGGGGTGACGCATGACCCTCACCAGATCCGGCACTGGTGGCGAAATGTCATGTATTCAAGTAGTAAGTAGCTTAGATGCAACCTTATCATTAAAAAAATAATTAAAATACAAAGTCAATGTATTTTATACATTTTTTTTCTCGTTTAATATGTTCTAACGTAGTAATGAGAAAGGATTGTAATGCTGCAGCCGAAAGAGGCGGTTTTTTATAAAAAAAACTTGTACGGATCTGATATAAAAAATCATTCCTTCATGTGTTTCAAATGATGTCTCATGAACTTTCTCTAAAACTCAAAAGTTGTCTGTAACAATGGTCTTAAATTTTTCAATAATTACGATTTTTCAATAAAAATTTGCATAAAGGAGCGAGATTCAGTCTTCTATAATGTTCTTAACATCATATTTCAATTAAGTTAATAGGGTAGCCAAAAATTGAGAAAATATGAAAAAATGTCTTTCTTGCGTCGATAGATAGAATCTGGGGAGAGGGTGGGCTAAAACATAAAAATATAGGCCAGACAAGAGAGACAAGGCAACTAACTAGAATGAGAATTAATTCTCTCGCACCACTCAGCACGGCTCTCAGTTTCTTTCTCGAATACAGAAAGTGTGGCAATGCTGAAGCAGAAATGGCTATTACTGAACAGAAAAACTCACTTTGTGGGACCCTTACTCTGAAAAATTGGAAATGTTAATTGGTTTTGTTTATATATGTTGTAAATTGTTTCCTCTAAAATTATCCTGCCAGTGGTGGTTGGAACCTCTGGGGCTATGCCAAGATTTACAGTCAGTGCTTTCAAGACCCTGGGGATTACGTCTCGAGGCGATCTATTAACTATCTCGTGAATTGCTCCCAGAAGCTCTATTAAACTTTACACACAATTTGTAAATTACAATGGAGCAATTTAGCATTGCTTGTAGTAAATTTAGAAAAAAAAACTTCCTTTGGGGAAGTCTAGGGTACCCATAGGACCCTAAAATGCCTAGGAATTAGCCAGTTACCACGACTAAGTGGGAATTAATGCTATTTAATGTGGCATATAGAAAATTGTATAGTCAGAATTTACATCTTATCCAAGTGGAGCAAAGTGGATACGACCTCCCCAGTGTCGTCTTTCCCGGCCAGCCTTCTCGCCTAGCCGACCCAAGCTCCACCTCGCCCCCCTTCCACCTGTCTCGTTTCCCGCCCTTCCTCTTCTTCCTGGCTTCCTCTCCCGCCCCTCCTCGTCCCAAATCCAGAGTACTAAACGTTTTCCCATCATCTCACTTTCTGCTCTGCTCCTGTGTATACCCTCACCGTTCTCTATCCCCAAAGCCATTGTGCTTGCTCACTTGTCTTCCCCTCTGTTGCAGGTGACTGTGCTTCGAGTATCGATATCGCCCTCGCTCTATGCGCGTTTGGCGTCGACACATCAAGGGCCGTCGCTACCTCACACTGCCTGACATCATGCCACTGCCTCGGTTGACGCGGTCATTGGCTTTGCCTAATATTGGAAACTTACCTCTTTTTATCTGTATTAATTTTTGTTCCATGTAGAGAGATTAAAA